CCACCACAGGTCCCCCACCCCCGCTGGCTGCAGTCCTCTGAGCAGATCCTGGTGGACTCCCCCAAGGCCCGCGGCTTTGCGCGCACTCTGCTGTTCAACAACTACACTGATGAGGTGGCATACATGTACGGCGACCCATCGGGCGCCAACAGGACGCAGTACTTTTAAAGCGGCCTCGAGCGAGGGCCGTATAATTGTTTTGGTATGCTCGCTGCGGGCAGGGCGGCATCCGAGGCGCCGGGCCGGAAGGGGGTTTGGGCGGCGTTGTGCAAAGCGGCACAAACCCCTCGGGTTGGGCTCGTCTTGGACAGCTTGTGACCTGGCCTCGCTGGTGTTTCCATGAAATCTTTTTGGCTGGAGGGACTGGGGTCCAGGGAGGGGGCCGCATGGTCCCGTTCGTCGGGGTGCGTTCCTGGTCCGTCGGCGGGGTGCGTTCCTGGTCCTGCTCATTGTGGTGGCTTCAGCACTGCCAGCTGTCGTGCTTACACAATTCGGCTCGTCACTCTACTCGGCTCGTCAATCTCTGTGCGGACATCCCACGACTTTGCCTCGGTTGCTACAAGTTCGGAGGATTTGTTTGTCTGATGCCGTCGGTCTCTGAATATGGAGGGACAGTCGGAGGTTTCTTTGCTGAAGATGCACCTACATTGAGCACATAAAAGGCGTCGAGGGTCCTGCTCACTTCTGCAGCCTTCCTGCCTCAAGACATCTCCTTAATCAGTCCAGCCCCCTTGTGTGCTGTAACAATCCTGATTTTGGTAGATGTCGAGCAGGACGCAACAGGACTGCAACCACCCTGTTGGTCAACTCATCAACCCCCCCACAGGGTGGTTGCAGTTGGGCAGGGTGCTGCTGCAAGAATATAAAAGCTTGAGCCAGGGCAATGCACAGTCAATACGAATTTATGGTTTTGCCGTTGCAGCATCTGTTGCTGCGTATGTTGAATGGCTGGTACTGAAGAATCACCCAAAAGCCAGGCAGAATAGCTAGCGATGCGATGGCGACCCTGGCGCGCTCAACCACCCGCCCCTCCAGGCTCGGGCTCCCCGTCGCCAGCGCCGCTGCCTCCGCCGCCGCCTCCCTCTAGGCCGCCGCCACCAGCCGCCGCCTCCCCGTCTGCCGCCGCCCGCGTGTCGGCCTTCCACGCGGCGGGCCCCACGCAGCCTACGCATGTAAAGTCATACACATACACCCGGCTGGGCCCGGACGGGCCGCCTCGATCCAAGCGCTTCACCACATGGGCTGCCAGATCGCACGCGCCTGAGCTCGACCGCATGATCTGGCGCCGCGCCGCCGACAGCGCCGCGAGCGCGTTGGCCGCGGCGGGCCCGCCGGCGCTGAGGACGCGCGCGGCGCCGTGCTGCGAGACGTCCCCGGCGACAGCCTTGCCGAGCTTTTGGGGGTCAAGGGCCCGGCTGCTGTACAGGACGCGGCTCACCGGCAGGCCCGCAAATGGGTGCCCCGCGCCGCGGCCGCCAGCGTCGCCCCCGCCGCCGCCATCGCCGCCGCCGTCGCCGCCGCGATCGCCGCCGGCGGCGGCCGCCGCAACGCCTTGGCTATCGCCGCCGCTGGTGTCACCCGAAGAACCACGGGCACCGGCCGCCCGGGGCTCGTGTGATCCCGACGCCTGCTGCTCTCCTTGGGGCAGCCGCACCAGCCATGTGAAAACGTGCATCAAGGCGCTTTCGTCGAAATCGAGGAGGGGCTGGAAGGCCAGGGTGCAGCCGTGCTTGCGCTCAAGCTGCGCCGCCGCGACCGCCAGCAGCGCCGCGGCGCGCGCGTGCGCGGCCGGCGTCGCGGCGAGCAACACGACGCGAGGGGGCGCGGGCGCGCCGGCGCCATCAAGGGAGGGGGCGCGGCGGCGCAGGGGCCTGCGGCCGCGCAGCGGGGCCGGCAGCTGCCACGCGGGCGGCCCCTCATCCTGCAGCTGCTGCCATCCGGCGTCGGCCTCCTCTGGCTGCATGTAGCCGCCGGCGTCGTCATCAGCCGCCAGCCCCTGTTCCTGGCCGCCCGCTGGTGATCGCCCCTCCGCCTGCTCCGCTTGCTGCTGCTGCTGCTGCTGCTGCTGCTGCTGCTGCTGCTGCTGCTGCTGCTGCTGCCGCCCCCTCCGGTGCGCCAGCCACCGCTCGTGGGCCGCACTGGCGTGGCGCAGCACACCGATCAGGTAGTTTGCCGTGCGGGACGCCTCGTTGGCGGGGCCCACGACGACGGCCTCCCACCTTGCGCGCGGTGAATGGTCAGCGACGCATGACGCCGGATGATGTCATGCCCTGCCGTGCACCACGACATGCCTGCAGCATGCGCGCTCGTTTGACGCACAAGCAAAGCGCCAGGGGCCGTCTTGCCCTCCTCCCCTTCATATGATGACCTTGTGCATGAACAAATTCTCAAAAATGTTGCTTAGCAACAGCATCGTGTGGCTCACCTGTGCGCCTCAGGAGTTTTCCTCCGAGCTCGCCCAGCGCGCGGCTGGGCGCCCCCGCCTGTAAGCCAGGCAGGCGGGCCCCCGCCTCGTCCGCTGGCAGTGGTGCGGTCTCCACTCTGCTGCTGCGGCGGCCGCGGCAGCGCTGCATCAACCGCCTGCTTCGCCGTCAGGATCGCAGGCGGCCACGCGCCTATAGCTGTTGCATCACCGCCACTGATGCTGGGTGGGGCCTCTCCGCCTTGCAGCGGCGTTTGGGGCGCATGCCGCGGCCGCTGCTGCAGGCGCGGCCGGCCCAGAGGACCGATGGAGTCCCCCCCGGCTGCGGCAACCCAGGCCGCATGGGGCCTGCAGGGATGCAAACACAGCATGCTCATGCGCTTTCGCCAGGAAAAGCCAGCGTGCATGCACATGTGATGCAGGACGCACGCAGCATCAGCAGCAACATCAGCAGCAGCACCAGCAGGCGGCGCAGGCGAAGACTTGAAAAAGCAGCAGGCGCAGACGTCGGCCTCGCACCTGGACGCCGCTGCTCGTCTCATATGAAGACCCTCCGTCATCCATTTCATGTCTACCTATGCGTCCACTGAGTTGTGCTTGGCTTGGCTAAGCTGCGGTCTGTGCTAGATCGAGGGCGTGCTGCCGTGCAGAGCGCATGTACAAGGACCACATATACATGAGCAGATGAATGTGATTTGCCTCATATGCGGTGAGAGACCTGCACATCAGTGCCTGCTTCATTTCTTCATCAGGTGGTCGGCACACCCGGCAGGCACCCCAGGCAAGCTTGCTTGCATTGCATTCCCAACGGCCACAGCATCCGGTACGCAGAGGTGACAGACACACGCTCCATGTTCTTGGGCATTGATGCAATCACATATAATGTGGCCACATGCTTGTTGTTGAGTCGCGGTCAGCCGTGCTCCTGCCCGTGCTCTCCCCCCCCCCCC